GAAAACATAGACTTCATTTCAGACAGCCATCTTCATAGCTAAAAATTAGAGTGTCTAGTAAAAATAAAGAAGAAGAACCAATCTTGAGGTAGGCAATTGGCAGTCTCTGCCACTCAAGAACTACTTTATTAATTAACCTTCATAACAGCCCTATGAAGTCACTTCTATTATACCCATTTTATAAATGAGGAAATTGAGACTTAGAGATTCTTGACAAGGTCTCACCCTCAAAATCCCCGGCCGGCCCCCGTCTGACAAACTCATCAGAGACCCGAAACCATAACTGCCTGGCCGAGCTGCCTCTCAATTCCTGACCCAGAGAAACGGAGAGGTAGTAAAGGTTTGTTTTTGTCATACACTACTTAGTTTTGGAGTAATTTGTTATGTGATCGCTCCTATCACTGTGTGTCTTCCCGGATGATTGTTTTTAACAGGGGGCTCTTTGAGAAGCTGCCCATGTAGCAGGAAAAAACCCCGGGGCTCGAAGTGAGAGAAAATCACTCACACTCACTCACAAAAGTGAGCTTCCGGCTCGGCAGAGTGCCCTGGCCCTGGAAGGGGGTCCTCAGGGTCCTGGGCCTCCAAGTTTTCCTCTTAAGCACATTTTAAAGGGAAAGGGCCAGTGTTGGCCTAAGGCTTCTCTGGTCCCTTCAGCTCTACCGGTTGGAGGACGCAGCCGTGGAAGCCAAGCATGGCGCCCCTGGCCAGGCCAGCAGCGGCTCTCCCCCAGCTCAGGTGGCTGCAGCCCTTGGCCATGGGAGCACAGGAGGCCCAGGCCTCTCCTGAGCTGGCCTCAGGCTCCCCCGACTCCTGTGTGCAGCCTCCTGACACCCACCCTTTGGTGCGGAGCTTTCGCTGTGGAAGCTGTGGAAAAACTGCCAGCCTCTTTGGGTGGAAATCCCTGGGAAAAGGTTACATGGGCGACAGTTCCATCAAACTCACAAGAAACCATGGAAAAGGGCAGCTGGAATTGTTCAGGCCTCCTGGCCGGCGAAGTAGCTCTAAATCAGTGGCTCTCCACCAGGGGCAGTTGTGCCTCTCAGGGCACATTTGACAACGCTTGGAGACATTTTGGGTTGTCACGACTAGGGATATAGAGGTCAGGGATCCTGCTAAATGTCCTATGGTTTACAGGACAATCTCCCACAACAAGGAATCATCCAGCCCAGAGCATTAACAGTGCCAAGGTTAGGAAACCTGCTCTAAATGAAGATATTCCAGAGAGCAAAGAACAGAGGCACTCACAAAATAGGGACCCTCTCCCCCTACCCCCTGCCCAAAGTGAGGGCAAAGAGGACTATTTTTTGAGGATAAGAAATTTGTAAATAGATCAGAGTGAGGCTACACTGAAGAGAGCGTGTCTCTCTCTCTCTACTCTCCTCTCTCTCTCTCTCTCAAACACACACATACACATACAGGCACACACGTACACACCCTACACCACACACATTCAAGCACGCACCGAAACCTCTGCCTCTGGGCTCTGCTCCCTGCATTACTCAAGCCATTTCTGGGCCCCTGTGGTAGGCCTATTTGAGTCAGGGATGGAGACTGTCAAAGCAGGGACCAAACTAAAACTTGGGGCAGAACCACCCAGAGGCAGAGCGTGGTTTTGTGGGGACTGAAATGGATACACTTTGGGGGTTCTCCTTAAAAAATTAGGAACAAGGCCTGAGAGTGGACTCCTGCTAGTGAGGGACTCCTTCTGGCACCCGCATAAAGGTTGGATAGATAAGCAATGGCAGCGCCCTCACTAGAGAGAAGAGAATGGATGGATTTGCAATGTTGGGGAAGTGGAATTAAGAGGACCTAGTGTTAGGTGAGATCCAGAGAATCGGGGGGCGGAGGGGATTTCCTCCGGCACCTGAAAGTGGCCCAACTTACTGAGAAGGTGCACAGGCACAAATTTAAGAGAAACATTAGTTAAGGCAAACGTGAGGTGCCTATTGGACATCCAAACAGGGATGGCCTGGAAGGAATTGGATTACATATCTGTCACTGTGGAGAGAGAGCTTGGACAATGGAGCCTGAAGAAGGAAGAGTCCCATATATACACACACCCTCACATGGAAAGTTGAGGGGAATGGGGTGTGGTTCCCCACTGTGGTCACAACACTGTCATCCAGGACTGTTGGGTAGCAGGTTATCTTGATTATTGTTTGCCACTTATTGAGCATTTACTATATACCAACTGTTACTCTATATCTAAATCATTTGTATTAATATGCTAGTTTTGAATCTGATAATCCCAGTTTGGTGTCCACCTATACCTCCTTTGCCATTTTAAAAATAAGATTAAATCTTTTGTGGGGGGAAAAAGAACTAAACTTTAGAGTGGAAAGTATTAGGTTCAACCCTGGCTGGACAGCTGAGGTGATTAAAGCATCATTCCAATATGCCTAGGTTACAAATTAGATAGATCCCTGGTCTGGGACAACACATTGGTGTTCTCTCTTGTTCTCTCTCTCTCTCTTGTTCTCTCTCTCTCTCTCTCTCTCTCACACACACACACACACACACAACAATAAATAATAAAAAGGAAGTATTGGGCTCAAGTTCTGATTCTCGATCTAACATCTGTGGTCGCCTCAGTTTTATCATTCAGAACAGAAATCATAATAATCATTACCTCACAAAATAGTCATGAAGAGTAAATAGGACAATTTAGATGAAAGATAACTATGTGATGGGCTCCCAAATATGGTTCGCTTTAAGAAAATAATAATACTCTGAGGGAGAATACCAATTCTTTCACCAGCTGAAACTATTATTATTAAATGTGGCTCATAGGCCATCAGTTAAAGCTTAGAATTCTCGAACCCCAACCCCTCCCTGGTCAAACCTCCTGCTCTCCCCTGTCTGCCTGCCCAGCACTGTTGATTCCTTTCTTGTGCAAGGATTTCAGCAGAGCAAATGGCCTCCTCTTTCTCCCTGTGCATCACAGGGCCCTCTGCAACTAGCACAACAGGGAATACAAAGCAGGCATTTGCTAAGTGTTGCATTCAGTGTTAAAGGCCTTGGGGTTGTGCTGGTATTTGACTTGTGTAAATGAAACTATTAATCCCAAAAGTTAAATTTAACTCCATTGCATTAAGAAAAAACTCCTCTAGATCACGTCTATGTTAGGGTGGTTTTATATGCAGGAAAATATTTGTTTTATGCTATTTGGCAGATTTTTAAAAATCTAATAAGATCAAAAACCTAAGGGGTGAAGAATGAGTTAGTGAGGAAAGAGGACAGGAAGAGAAAGGCATCGAGATGCTTTAAAACATCCAAGGAAACACCTCTGGCTGCTGTGGCTCAGTGGATTGGGTGCTGGCCTGCAAACTGAACAGTTGCTGGTTCAATTCCCAGTCAGGGCATATGCCAGGGTTAAGTGGCAGGTGATGCCATGTTTCTCTCACACACTGATGTTTCTCTCCCTCTCTTTCCCCCTTCCTTCCCCTCTATATGAAAATAATAATAAATAAAATATTTTTTAAAAAGTCCAAGGAAACACTTGGACCCAGAAAGAGGTTGCATAACTTGTGAGAGTTTTAAAACAATTATATTCAGTGCAATGGTAGCAATTGGGATGGGCTTCATGTGTGTCGCTGGTAGCAATACCCAAAAAGACCACAAGATGGCAACATTACTCCAGGAGTCTCTCCCAGTCTCTCCCACGCAGTGACTCCAGCTTTCTTTGTTCACAAGCAACCCTCTCTGGCTTATGTCATTAATGCCATTGTGCATTTTCTGTCACTTCATGCTCCCCGCCTTACTTTCAGCCACTTTCCCATCACCAGTCCTAATACAAAAATGAACTTTACCGACTTTATTTCTTTTCGTTACATTTTAAAAATAGGTTTATGTTTTCTGTTCTCAATTGTAAAAGCAGCTTAAATCAGAAGTTTTGTTTTAATGAGATATAATTTTTTTAAAAAAACCAGAAAACCTCAAGTGAGGTTAATATTTCCCTTTCGTTAATACTCAAAGTGGCTTTCCTGCTAAGCTCGGTGTCGCCAGGCCTGGAGGTTGTCAGAGACGGACGTGCCCACTTGAGACAAAGATTACACCTCAAACTGCGGAAAGGGGCTGCCAGCCCCTAAAGACAGGGGAGGCTGAATCCTGCTCCAGAGAGAACAGAGAATAAAAATCCATATTCCACACTTAAAATGATTTTATTATGGAAAATGTAAACAATGCAAAAGTACACAAAATGGTATGCCAGGCCCGGATGCCACATTGTGTCTGAGACTAAACCATGGAAGAGGCTGTGAGGAAGATGACCGTTCCCAGTTTGTGGAGACTTGTTAGTTCCCAGCCCCATGTTTGCCCTGTTCTGGCCCCTCCTAATGTAAGGCGTTTACAAGAGAAGGAGGGGCGTCAGGGAGAGCAGGTCTCCGAGGGAAAGTAGAGCTGTGCCCACACCCGTTTCCGCACCACCCGGGATTTGAATCCTGGCTTAGTGTCCTGTCACACAGGACGGTTTTTGTTTGGTTGCGTGTTTTGTTTTAAACCTGGGTTGCTTCTAGGGACATCTGAGTGCCCAGGAAGATTATATGTGCATGTATTTTCCTAGGGTGAACATCCACTGCTTCCACCAGACTGCCAAAAGGCTCTGTGGCCAGGCCTTGTGCCCTCATCACTGCCAGAAAAGAAGGTCTTAAAAAGCACTGTCATTATACTGATGATGCTAATCCAGTTGTTCTTCTCTAACGGTCCTATTACTCTTTAAAATATGATGGACTTTGAACAATTAAATAAAAAAAAACTGTCACAGGAAATTTTTAAAAATAGGTATATAGAGAATTTTCCTTCTAAAATCATTTACTCTTTTGAAGTGTCATATGATCTTCCTTCCAGTGATTGGATGAAATCCAGCATAGATGAATTACTTTCTGTATTTGAAATTTTATATCCATATAATTACAGAAATTTTTTTAAAAACTGTTTTATTGATTGATTTTAGAGAGAGAGGAAGGGAGAAAGAGAGAGAAAGATCTATTTGTTATTCCACTTATTTATGCATTCATTGGTTGATTCTTGTGTGTGCCCTGACCAGGACCAAACCCACAACCTTGGTGTATTGGGACAACACTCCAACCAGCTGAGTTGCCTGGCCAGGGCTTAGTTACAGAACTTCTAATAAAAGTAATCTGCTTTTAGATATCTTATACTGGAAGTGTTTAGATATACCAATTTCATAGCTCTGAGCAGAAACTAACAACTGTACTAATTTTAAGTATGTTTAATAACAATGATAATTTTAAGTATGTTTAATAACAAATTTACTTATTAATGAATTTGGGTAAATGTACTTTGCTCTAAGATCCACTTAATGCATTTTTTACACAGATATTTCAAAGATCATTGTGAAAAAAAACACAAACATATACATATTTATTCACAGAAAATGCCATTATGACTTTAATATCAAACATAGCTGTCATAGTTCACAGAAGGAGCATAAAGTGCAAAAGCTCCATTTCAAAAGGCATTAAATTACTCCCAAAGCAATGGAGATTAAATGCTACCACAGCCAGTAGGCACATCCCTCTTATACATCACACCCTACAAAAAGTATAAAGTGTAGAAGAAGGAATATATCAGAAAATATTGTATTTGCTATAATTGTATATTGTGGTTATAAAATACTCTTAAACCTGGTTTAATACATAGAGAAAGATACAATTCAAACAGTTAGTCCCCTAGAATAGGGGCCATTAAAAAAAAAGTCTATAGAATTATGTCTATAAAATCTATAAAATCCATTGAGAATACCAGCGTGACCAGGGTGGCTTCCCTTCAGTCAGTTCGGATGGCAGCACCCATGCACGGAGCTGGCTAGGAAAGGTTCCAAGACCATTTGGGGCAAAGGAGCTCTGAGAGGCGCTCTAGCTAGGCAAGCGTCAGCCTTCACCTGCCCCTCTCAGGCGGTTCCATGTCAGCCCCCAGGAACGAAGAGCCAGAGAGGGCTCAGATCGCAGTCCTGGAGCCTCCAAGACGGCACTGGCTCATGTAAGCATGATGAACTGGTCAGAGAGGCTTTGACACACCTGAGAAATCCAATACACAAAATAGGTGACGGTGCTTTTACACAGCCATGGGCAACACCATCAAGCTCAGTCCCCCAGTAGAACCTCTGTGATTTATAACAATGTTTTAGGCACTCTTCAGAGGGACAGGCACAGAGTTTCCCCAAAATGTAGCTTGTTACCAAATAGATTCAGGTATGTGCACCCCACACACCCTACATATGTTCACTGAAGTATGTTTTATGATAATACTATACTCATAAAAAGGAGAAAAGACTCCTTTTTCTAAAAATCAGCAATCAATCAAACAGTATTAAACAAGAATTAATGACTTAATTACTTGGTAACATTGTTTTTCATGCTATCCAGTTCCTTCTGGATATTGATTTTGGGCAAATTCTAACCAGAACAAAAATCTGACAGCCATGCTGAGCAACTGCCGTGACCCAACTCCCATTGTCAAATCTCCACTTCCCTGCCTTAACAGGGAGGACAAAGATTCTTGACTGCACATTTGTTAATGAAATAAGCCCTTCATTTATTTTTAAACCAGAAAACACCAAAACCTGTAGAGCCATATATCTAACAACTATTTCCTATTACACATCAGTCCAAGTGCAGAAGCATATCAAAAAAGTAGCACTTGGTCCATGATTTCTTAGAGCCCATTCATCAGGCTCCGCTACCAAGGAAGACTCAGTAGTCAGTCTCAGTATCCAGTGACGAGTTCTCAAGTGTCTAGCTAATTCTAATGTACTGCAAAACCTGTTCCTCGTAAACAAATACACACCTGGCATTTATATTCCAGTCAAACTACAGGATAAACTGTCAGCTCTGAAAGATATTTACAACTGGAATGGGAAAAAAAAGACAAGAAGGAAATATACCAAAATATTACCAGTGGTTGTCTATAGTGAGCTATAAAATAGATTTCTCCTTCAACTTTTCTACAGTATCCCAATTTCCTTCAAAAGAGCATGTAGTGCTATAAAAGATTATAAATATATATGTAACTATAAATATGAATGATGCCATAAACCTAACTTAAAACAAGATCAGTATATTCCTATTCTCCTAACTTACCATCCCACACTGGCAAGCTATAGTGATTGCTGTTCAAAAGAAAAATTGGGTTTTGTCCTCCTCAATATACCCCTCCTTTCTCGCTCCTTTCCACACTCCTTTGTCAGCCCCCATTTCTTTAGAATCAATTTCTAGAAGGGCAGTGTGTTCTTCATATAAAACGCATTCCTTCTGACATTTGAACTTAAGTCATCTGTCTGTGGTAGAAACAGGGCACACACTTCCTTACTTCCAGCAGTCACATCTTATCCCTGTTTCCAAAGGACACCCAGAAACTTCCAGAAGGCTGAAGGCTTGGGAGCAGAAGGTAGTGTTCCCCAGGAAACAAGCCCTACACCTGACAGTGGGAGATGGTCCACCCTGGACTGCTGGGACAACGCTCCGCTCACTGAGGAACCCTTAAGAGAGACATTAAACCTGGCACACATACAAATAACATTCTCTACTCTTTTCTCTTTGCTTCTCCTTATCTACACGTCCACACTAAGGCAGTTGGGCTTCAGATATATCAAACCCCTTACTTGAGAGCATTTGATTCTGCAGAATGGATGAAACCAGAATCCATACCTGCTAACTCAAACTGAGAAGAGGACGGCCTGATACTCTCCTTTTAAAAATTCTAGACTTGAAACCCAAAGGACTTAATAATTTTCAATTTCTGTTTCAAGAACCACCTAGCTCTCACAGAGGTATAGTAGAGGTTCCTGAAATGTTTAATTCAAATATAATTTTTAAAAGATTTTTACACTATAATATAGCAACAGGTCCACTCATTTGATACCAAATTTTTCTACATTGAAAAACACCAAATTGTTCATTTACATGTCACTGCCTGATATATTGGTAAGGAAATGTCATATGTTTAACCTTAAAATAAGTTTAAGCTAATAAAATACAATCTATGTCATACATTAGGGTTTCATAAAGATTTCTTACTGCAAACAGTTTTCTGCTGCTAAAATAATTTGAAAACCACAGAAATAGGATAAAGTCATTCATTTTTAAACTCGTAATTCAGTTCTTTCATGGACTTTTCACCTTAGATCCTGTGCAAATTATAGCCAGAGTAAGAGTTCCCGGAGATGCCAAAAACTGCTGCTGCTGCCCAACTCTTAGATACACAGGGCGGTCGCATGATTCCTGTCCACACGTGAAGGGCAGCCTGTCCTGCCCTTTCTCACAGTAGAACATTGCCGAGCAGGAAGCGCCTGAGTTAACATGAGTATCCCTGAGGTCATGCATTCCCACCTTAAACATTCAAGGGAGTTTGGAGTCTTCCATTCATCCCAGTGAAAAGGAGACTGAGTTGTAGTCAGTGTCACTTCAGGTGAGAAAAACTCAGAAGGCAGCAGATCTATTCTGCTGCACCACCCAAGGACCCAAGCAGCCAGTGTGTAGTTACTGCCAGCACTTAAGAATAGCAACCAAATGCTTGGAGAAACTACAGGAAGCACCTCACACTGTGAAAGGATGGAGTGTAATACCCTCAGCAAAAATGAGAGAAAGAACCGGGGAGATTCTTGAACATAATTTCCAGACAGCATACAGGAGGTTTCCCATGAGCACAAGTGTCCGAAACTTCATGTTTGCTCCAAATTTTGAGCCAGGACCCCCAACATCATGATTGTCACAAGCCCTTTGGCATGTTACAGAGGTCAAGCGGTGAGGAGGGGGTCTGTGTATGGGCCACAGCTATTCTTCTGTGTGTCTGAGGTTACTGGGCTGGGGTGGGGGACGAACAATGTCAACATTTAAAAACTTTGTCATCTTCAAGAATGGCTTAAAGTGAAGCGTAGGTTTTTGGCATAGAGGGGTTTCTCATTAGCTTTACCCTCATCTAAAGTCAAGTCTCTATCTCTCAGCAGAGGTAGAAGTGAAAGGATGTACAACCACATGTCAAACCTGGGTGATTGAGAAGTGCAAGACCAGCTTCAGTTGCCACAAGCCTTGTGCGCATTTCATTTGATTTTTGTTTTAAGATGGGTTTCCCAAATGAAAATCTGGCATCTTCTATCAGACAGTTGGAGGGTGTCACCTGTCGCAGAATCTGTCATCCCCAGGAATGGTGAGGTCTGGAGCTGGCAAACTTTCCAGGAAGCGAGGCGCTATCTAGCACCAGGTCCCCCACTGCCACAAAGGACACACAGCCCAACAAGCCACTGCCTCTAAAAGTCAACGTTGACAAAATATACCCAGAGCCCTTGGCCCTCTACTTTCCATCCTTGGGAAGAGCGAAGTCCTGGTAGCCCATAGATAGACAGCTAGTGAGAGCCAAGGGAAGAAAATTGAAAAAAAAAAAACCCCCAAAAAACCCAAAAAGGATCCCACCCCCAACTCTGATAACCCAGGGCTGTCTTTGCTGGCCTGAAGCCTGAGGACAGGAGCACCTGAGCAGAGGAGCCCGCCCTTCCGTCATGTGATCTTGACTGGGGATTTCTTCGTGGCGCACAGGAGGGACACGTAGGGAACGCCGATGAAGGCCCATTTCTCGCTGGGCCAGAACCTGATGACGGGACCTTGCTCGGGGATCTCGGAAGCAGCATCAAAGTAGGCAAAGCACACGCAGCCCAGGTAGGCGGCCAGGCAGATAAGGATGTGCCTGCAAAGAGAGCGAAGGTGAGGACCTGCTGCAGCAGAGGCTGCGGGGCCCTCAGCTCTGAGACTCCTCCCTCTGCACTCCGCCCCGCTACCTTCCCCGTCACCCCAGCTCCCAAGGCCTCTTCTGATGAGGGCGGGGTGAAGGTGGCAGACAGACCCCCCCGCCCCCAATAGCAGGAGAATGATCATCTGGAGCAAATGGGGCCTGTTTTAGAATGTTCTAAAATATTCTGGCTTAGTAACAGGAACAAATTGCAAATGTATTTGGGATTCAACCAACCCTGAGGTCTGAGGATTTAAAATGGGCTCTATGAGGATGGAATTATAAGGCATCCAGACTGAAGTATTAATGGGACACACAAAAAAATGAAGGTAATGTACAGGCATTGCTAAGAAAGTTGTCCATGACCTAGTGTTTGGTTTTAAAAAGAAAAAAGGAACAATAAAAAATTATTAATAATAATAATAAAGAAATAAAAAGGAAAAAGAAAGGGGGGAAAAAAGAAAAAAAGGACCAGTTTGCATCAGGTATAAAATGATGCTGTTTTTGTTTTTAAAAAGCAGAATTAGAGAAAAAATATATATACACATACATAAACTTAAGATCAGGAAGGATATACCTCAGGCTGTTTACAACTGTTACCCCTCTTTGTTAGATGGAATTAAGAGAGCTTCTTTCTTCTTGTATTTCTACAGTGTTCACATTTGTTATGTTAAAAAACAAATATGTCAGTTTATAACTGGGACAAAAATATGGTTCAATTTTTAAAAACAAAGCAGAAAGTATAACAACTTAGAAGCAAATTGTTTAAGCCAACATTATTACAGTGTAATCTTTGAATTTTACTTAAATCACTAGTGTGACCAGGGAACGTAGATTGACAAAAATGTACTACATGTTGAATGAGGTCATTTAACACAGGTGGATACATTTATCAAAATTCATCAACACATACACTTAAATCTGTGCATTTTATTATCTGTAAATTATAATTCAACAAATAAATAAAGTGCATATAAATTCACTAGTGTGAGTTAAGGTTGAACCTAAGAAATATCAGGCAATGGATCCTAAGGCTGGGATCGCAATTTGAGCTGTTTTATTTATTCTGCCTTTTGCAAAGAGTTCTTGAAGTTCCCAAGCCTTCAAAGAAAATTTTTTTTTCATTAATAGTTAACATACAATAATGGAAGTCCTCAAGTCTTAAACTGACAGCAGATTGTGTCTCATGATAGATATATACAAGTTCGCATGTTAAAGGAAATTTAAGCAAATTCCTTCAAACCATACAGTTTTAGGCATCTCCTGATACAAGTCAAGCTTCACCTAGATCTATATCTAACAAAGTTTTTCCAACTCTTTGCTAATATAATTCCTTCCTGGATACTCTCTATTTGAAAGGGACACTCTAAACATATTTCTCTTTGTCCTTGTTATTGTTTGCAATCAGTAGTCCTGAAGGACAGTGAGGGAAAGATGACTGAGTTTGGAGCTGCACTGGTTCCTAGGAAGGAAGTCGCTCAATTTCCTCCTCAGTTTTCTGAGTATAGGACTCCATACTTTGTAACCTGCTTCTTCTTTCTTTCTTTCTTTCTTTTTTTTTAATTACGTAACAGCGTATCCTGAGCATTCCAGGTATAGATGTAAGAATATAAGAATTCCCTCTTATCAAACTCCTAGGCAGGTTTTGTAAAGTCAGCTGGTCATGAACAGTTCACTTTACCTCTCTGGGCCTCTGTCTCCTCCTGGGAAGTGAATGGGTGAGGCTGTCCCTGGGTGACCTGGGGGGCCCATGCTTTCACCAGGTCATTTAAACCCAAAGGGGAACAGGGGAACAGGGGAACTTGGGTTGACAAAAATGTACTATATCTTGAAAGGGGTCATATTTACCTTATTGTGGTTCCCGGTTGGACACCCCATCCTTGTCCCCACATCTGTCCCAAGCCTTCCCTTCCTCCCCTACCTTAGAGATCTAGCCAGAGCTCAGGTGACGGATTCGGTTTTCAAGCTCCATTATGCTTTAATAATGGAGATAGAGCTCAGAGACCCAGACTTGAAGCATAAACAATTTGTTCTTTTTGTTCTGGCTAGCCAGCTCCATGGTGCCCATTCTGCTTTTGACAATGGTTTCTGTTGCTTCTGAAAAGTCTGACAGTCTCTGCGAGGAGAGAGGGGCACTCGGGCTCTGCTCTGTCCCCTGGACACACTTGTGTACTTTGAAGGGCGAATGGAGCCTACGGAAAGTACAGACCCATGTCCTGCAGCCAATTCCCCACCAGCAGAGGCTTACCACACACAGTGCAAGTAGGGAAAGTGGAAGGATGACAGCAGCTCACAGAAGGCTCGGTCACTGATCCAGCAGAAGAGGGCGAGGGTCCACCAGAGGCCCGAGAAGAGGCCCAGCTTAATTACACGCACATTGTCACATCTGTACAGGATCCAGAGAGAAACTCACCATCAGCCCTGGTTTCCGCCCACCTCACTGGCCACTTGTCTGGTTCCTCCCATCTCCCCAGCCCCTCATCACTGCGGTCCCTACCCAGCATACCATCACTCCACCAGCTCATGGATGTGAATCCCACATGTGCACAGATGGCTCACAAAGTCAGACATCTCACCCAGGCCTCTCCCTAACTCCAGACTCACATACCTAACTACCTTCTTGGCATGCCCACACGATGTCTAATATAGATCTAAAGTGAATATGTTCATAATAAACTCCAAATCTTTCCCATGTCCAAAACCTATTCTCTCCCAGCTCCCTGAGGAGTCATTCCATGCTTTCAGAACCTCAGGTCAAATATATGGACAATTTATTTTGCACCCCAAAAGGCTACATAAACAGGCCTATAGCCTTGCCATTTTACAAGATTAAATGAAAACTGACACAAATGTCAACAAATATATAAACAATTAATCTGGTACAAGAGGATCTATGTACACTTAGTTTAATTAAACCCAGAAAGTTTGGCTTAAGGAACACACCCATACAGAGAGCTGGAGAAGGAGCGTATATGTCAGACGGCAAGAAAGAGGTGGACTGTCACATGCAGTGACTAGTCACATGGGGGCCGGGCTGGACGGACACCTGTGATGCAGGAGGGAAAGCACTGCAGTCAGGGTGGCAGGGTAGCCTGGGACTGTCCCTCTGTTTGCAAATGGGCAGACTCAGCTACATATGCCACTGACCAGGCTTATTTGCACTTGGGGCTCATCCAAACCTGACCTCCATTAGGTTTTATTCCCAATTTTCAGGGTTTGTAGTGGAAAATCAGATCAAAAGCAGGATCCTATGTAAGAACAGAAAAATCTGAGAGGAGGTCTGCCATTTCTTCTCTTCTTGAACCTTTGTTGCATTCTCAAAGTTTTTCTTAACAATCAACTCATTCCTATAATCAGAAAAACGAAGTCTATTTTAAAATATTGTAGATGTAGCTGAGTCACTTGGTAATGTGACAACACCACACCGTTCAGTAAATGTCAGATCATGACCCCAAGTCAAAATAGTTTATTTCCTTGTGGTCTGAGAGAAGGCTCAGAAAGGACAATGAAAATATGAAAAGACTAGAAACGAGCTCTGAGAACAAGGCTAACAAGAAAGAGAAAGCAGAACAGCAGTCCCTCCCCTGCTTCCGTGAGCGGACGGAAGATCGATGAGAAACGTTTTGCTGACATATGACAGATCGTAGCTGATGAGAAGCAAAGAAGAGCCTGAAAGAGGACACAAAGAACAACGAGGCATCCTGTTGGCTGCGAATTTTATCAATACAGCCAACAGCCACCTCCTCTTTCCTGCTGAGGCTCGAGTGGGAACTGGGGCTCAGTAGCGAACACAGGGACCTTGTTCCTGTCTATGAGGAGTCTGCATCAAGCAGACAAGTCAGACATGGAACAAAACAACAGCATAAATACCATTTAAATTATGACCAGGATGAGTGTCATAAAGGAGAAGTGTGGGGTACAATGAGAGCATATAAATAGTTGAGCCCAAACCTGAAGGATGAGCAGAAGTGAAAGAAGGAGAAGGGCTAGAAAGAAGGATGACCACAGGCCTGGGGTGGGAGGGTTGAGGCCACCTTGAGGACAAGGAAGGTCAGAATGGCTGGAGGAGAGAATATAAGAGGGAGCTTTGTATGGGAGAGACCAGCAGATGGGGCCCATGATGAGGATTTTGAACTTTATTTAAACTGCAATGTCAACTAATAGAAAAATTACTGTGAGCAGGTGGGATGTTCAGGGAAGGAAGAGGAAGCCATTCTTCTGGCTTGAGCAACTAGGAAAATGGTGCTCAACTTACTATGGCTGAAAATATTAAGAGAACCACAATAGGAAAAGCAGATCAGGAATTGGTTTCGGACACGTTGAATTTGAGATACCTGTGACACATGGACTTGTAGCAGTCAGGTCAGCAGGTAGGTGCATAATGGTGGAGGCAGAAGGAAGGACTGGTTTGGAGACATAAATCTGGGAGTCACTCATACTCGTGCAGTAATTAAAGCCAAGGGAGTAGATGAGACAATTAGGGGAGAACTCTGGAGGGAGAAAAGCAGAGAGGTGAGATTGAACCTTAAGAGACCCGTACATGCACAGGTGTGTAGAAAAGAAGGAGCTCACACGAGAGACTAAAATGAAGCTGACACAGTTAGAACCAGGAAGATGTGGTGTCCTCGCAGCCACAGGAAAGAATGGCTGAAGGACGCGGGATGAATTGTGCCAACAGTTGAGAGAACAACACGTAAGACCCAGGAGGCTGAAAAATTGTCATTGAATGTACAACTAAGAGGGGTTTGGGTACTGAAGTGGGGACAGAAACCAGACAGGATTAGGTTCAGAGTAAAAGAGAAGTGAGGGATGGAGACAACTTTCAAAGAAGTTTGGCTATGACAGACAAGAGAGAGAAAGGGTGGTGGCTGGAAACAGACAAGGATTGAGTCCAGGTTGAGTGTTACAGAAGACAGGAAAGACTCCAACCTTTCTCAAGGCCAATGGGAAGGACGCTTCAGAGAGGAAAGGATGACACAGTAGATAATTATAGGAGTAAAGAAGATACAAGAGAAGGAGGGAAGAATCAACCCATGTGTTGCATTTGCTAGTGCCATGATGAAGACCAATTAGCTGGAGGGGTGACTAGCTTTTCAGGGACAAAGATTTTAAGCATGGAACAGAAATTAAGTCCTTTATAATTACTTACAAAGATCTGATGATTAAAGGAAAATATGTCTCCCTGCTTAAAGATCCCAATTGTGAAGCAGAATTTATTTAAACTTTAAGTGCCCTAACCACTTGTCTTTCTTCATTTGCTCTTGTTTAAGCATTATGAATTAAAGATATTTTATATTCCCTTAGGCTATTTTTAATAAAAATTATAGGATAAAACATATTAGACTCAAGAATTAAAATAAAACTAGATTGCAAAGAATTCTCAAGAAACATAGCTAGGTCCAGAATAGTCTACTCACTTCTGGCCTAATATAAGCCAACATTACTGGAGCGACTATTACAAATTCATTTCAGATGTCTTTATCAGCTATTATATTGTGTGTTTTCCAAAGGGCTTCAAGATCTGTTAGTGTTCTGAAATAGGTCTCTTAATTCCCCAGTCTTTGAAGTATTCTCAAAGAAGCCGACAAGACAAGACCTGACAGCACCCTCCCACAGCCAGCCCGCATGCTTAAATACTTCTTCAACCACCTTTGACCCTGCCTGGTACTGCTGACAATCAAAGCAATTCCCAGAGGCAGAGCAATGGAAATAAGTATCTCCTTTCTAAACAAACACTGAGAGAAAGCTGACTTAACATATTACACAGAGCAACTTTCACAAAGGTGGCTAGATACACGACTTCAGCTGAGACACCCCATGTCCATAATAATGAGAGAATCGTGCATTTCTAAAAGTAGGCACACAGACACACACACAAAAGCACTTTCAAAGAGTACTCAAATAAGGGTCATAGTCAGATATATATTAGTTGGGGCTAGATGAAGATAATCGTTCTGGCTAAGATGGTGACATAGATAGATACACTTTGCCTCCTCACACAACCAAAAAGACAATAACAAAGTTAAAAACAAAACATAACTAGAACTGCCAGAAAATTGAAATGTATGAAAGTCCAACAACCAAGGAGTTAAAGAAGAAACATTTATCCAGATCGGTAGGAAGGGCAGAGAAGACACACAGCAAGGTGGCAGCTGGAGGACCAGGTGGGTGAGGAGGTGACTGGCAGACCCAGCGTTTCCACATTTGCATGCAGATAAACCAGGAGGAACTGCTAGGGAGTGAGACAGACCATGCAACCCAGGGTTCTAGTGTGGGAAAAGAAAGCCTTAACTACCTCTGGTTATAAACACCTGTGGGGGTTGCAGTGGCGGGAGAAATCCCAGCCTCACAGGAGAGTTCACTGGAGAGAACCACAGGGCCCCAGAACCTACACAAACCCACCCACCCAGGAATCAGCACCAAAAGGGCCCAATTTGCTTGTGGGTAGTGGGGGAAGTGACTGAAACAGCCGAGAGCCAAACAAGCAGCATTGTTCCCTCTCGGACTCCACCCCCACATACTGTGTCACAATGCAGCAACCTGGGTTGCCCTACCCTGGGGAATACCTAAGGCTCCAACCCTCCCAATGCAACAGGCATGCGGAGACAAAAAATATGGCCCAAATGAAAGAACAGATCAAAGCTCCAAAAATAGAACTAAGCGATGAACAGATAGCCAACCTATCAGACGCACATTTCAAAACACTGGTAATCTGGATGCTCACAGAAATGGTTGAGTATGGTCACAAAATGGAGGAAAAAGTGAAAGCTATGCAAAGTGAAATAAAGAAAAATATAGAGGGAACCAACAGTAAAGGGAAGGAAACCAGGACTCAAATCAACAATTTGGAACAAAAGGAAGAGATAAACATTCACCCAGAACAGAATGAAGAAACAAGAATTCAAAAAAATGAGAAGAGGCTGAGAAACCTCTGGGACAACTTTAAATGTTCCAACATCCAAATAATAGGGGTGCTAGAAGGGAAAGAGGAAAAGCAAGAAACTGAAAACTTATTTGAAAAAATAATTAAAGAAAACTTCCCTAATTTGGCAAAGGAAATAGACATGTAAGTCCAGGAAGCACAGAGAGTCCCAAACAAGATGAATGCAAAGAGGAACACACCAAAAATTCATAATTAAGTTACCCAAGATTAAAGATAATGAGAGAACCTTAAAAGCAGCAAGAGAAAAGGAGACAGTTACCTACAAAGGAGTGCCCATAAGACTATCAGCTAATTTCTCAAAACAAACCTTGCAGGTAAGAAGGGACTGGAAAAAAATATTCAAAGTCATGAAAGACAAGGACCTATATCCAAAATTACTCTACCCAGGAAACAATGGAAGGGCAGATAAAGTGCTTCCTGGATACGGTCAAGTTAAAGCAGTTCATCATCGCCAAATCCTTATTATATGAAATGTTAAAGGGATTTATCTAAGAAAAAGAAGATGATCAAAAACTATGAACAGTAAAATGGCAACAAACTCACAACTATCAACAACTGAACCAAATAACAAAAACAAAAACAAAAACAAACTAAGCCAACAACTAGAACAGGAACAGAATCACAGAAATGGAGGTAAGGGGGGTGGAGGGGAGAGAATGGTGGAAAAAGTACAGGGATTAAGTAACATAATTGGTAGGTACAAAATAGACAGGGGGAGGTTAAGAATAGTATAGGAAATGGAGAAGCCAAAGAACTCATATGTATAAGCCATGTACGTGAACTAAGGGGGTGGGGAAGGCAGGAATGCTGGTGGGGGAGTGCAGGGCAGAGGGGAATAAAGGGGAGAAAAAAATGGAACAACTGTAATAGTATAATCAATTAAGAAAAAAAGACTGGAGGAAAAAAAAAGAAGACAGTCATGTATACACAAGAGCTAAGCTGTTTCTGAATATCAACCTTGAACTCTGAGTATACCACTTTCCAAAGGAAAATGCTTACACAAATAGCAAAGGCTTTACCTGACCAGTCAAGCAAAGGTTTTACCTAGCAAAGTCAAGAGTATTACACCAGAAGCCATTGTTACCCTGTACATAGAAATTCATTTCTTTTTCCTTCTGTGTGAATGCAGCAGCCTCTCTAGTACTTTTCTCCTTATTCTCGTCATATGAACAAATCTACTCTCCTTTCTACAGAGTTCATTCTAAGCCACTTGGTCTAGGGCCACGCCAGGTCCTTGAGATGTCCCTGCTAAGCTAACTTTTGACCCTCATGACATATTGCATGCACAAAACAGCTGTTTCCCTCTTTCTGAAAATGAAATCAAGCCTGCTTTCAATCCAACAGTCAGAAACTATCTCTTCATAAAGAGTCAAACGCCTTTTCCACACTCAGGATTAGTAAAGGCACCAGGAGTGGGTGTGTCTCTGTTACAGGGATGGCCAAATGGGCAGGCAAGACGAACTGTACCCACCTCTTTAGCTCTGCGATGAGCAGCACAGTGCAAGGAACCCCCAGCATCATCAGAGAGATGTTGTTGATGGCGGGCTTGACAAACGCCAGGCATGTTGTAACTGCAGATAGGACGCAGACCACTGCCTTGAACCTGCCCCTGAATTGGTGAAAGCAAACCAAAGCTATTAGCAAAGGAAGTCTTGTTTGTCAAGTGTGGACCAGCTGCAGGCACTTTTCAAAAAGAAATTGCGCAGTAAGTACCCAGAGTCTAAAAGCCACTCATACTCACTGGCTCAATAAGTCCACTTCAAGGAATTTGTCTTTAGGAAATAATCAGAAATTGTCTAAGTATTTAGCCATGAGAACAATAAAATTAGAATCAACTTTAGTCCCTAAGGGTGAGATGTGGATACCTGTTTTTTAGTGTCATTTTTCCATATTCTTTTCACGTGTTTTACCCCAGGATTTGGCAAACACCCTCTCACAAGGGTCAGGTAGTGAAAATCTTGAGTTTTGCAGGTCATAGGTCTCTGCCACAGTTACTAAACTCTGCCACTGTAGACAGTAAGTAAGTGATTGGGCATGGCTGTGCACCAATAAAACTTGATCTGCAAGGACAGATAGTGGACCAGGTTGGCCAACAGAACACAGTTTATCAACCCGTGTTCTGCAAGCTTCCTAGTTTAAAAGGAAAAACGTCCTGTTTTTAGCATGCAAAAGTAAGTCCTCAAACATTCCGATAGTGTCTATATTTACTGACAACCCACAGGCTAGTATGCATTGGAATTTTGTGTTGACAAGTTTTTGCACGACAAGTTTTAGAAAAATAACTGATACTGTGCTTCCACTCTTCAGAGTAAAGGCGCTTTCAGAAAGAGCCAGAAACAGCGACGTGATCCTGAACATGCTCTGTCTTCTCTCCCTGGGACTCTGTTTCCTTATCTATAAAATGGAAAGGCTGAACTAGATTATCTCTAAGGCCTCATCTATGACTGAAATTTAAGAGCTTGTGATTTTCCCAAAGTTTCTGTTATGAGCCCAATTTACTTTGGCCAAGAGCCCTGGAACAGGTCATAGTTAGGAAACTAATTTGAATGACATTCCATTATTTAAAAAAAAAAAAACCCAAAGTGCATTGAAACCTTAAAAACACAAATTTATCTCTTAGAGGAAAATAATTTATAATCAAGGCACAGGAAATCATTGATCAAGCTGCCAACTTTCTGAGTGGAATGAGCAGGAATTGTAGCCCTGAACTTGGACCAGAGGGAAAAAAATATATATGGGAAAGGGTCCAGGCAGCAAATCCCCAGGAGAACCGTGTTTTCCTCCTGGCCTTGGCCAGCATCCTTCAGCTACCGGATAAAAGGCCGCCTGCTCACCCACCCCCAACATGCACGTAACCCGTAGAGACCCACAATACTCTCTCACTGGGTTTAAGGTTCTGTGACACATGCCAAGGCTTTTGGCCTTTTTAGATGGGATAAACACATAATCAAAAACTTCCAAATTGTATCCCCTGCGTATATCACCTCCTCCCAATTAGTAGCTGTGGGATCTTTGGCAAGTCACTGAACTCTCCCCAAGCTTCAGGTGTCCTGTATGGAAATTACAACACCTGCCTTGTGGTGTTCTTGCAAGCATTAGAGCACTTCATACAGTGATTGGTATATGGTGTGTGCTAATAAAGTCCACTACTACTATTATCATTACCGTAATTTGAGAATAAATGCTATTTAAACTATTATTATTGTTAATAATAGCACACTCTCGGGGAAAATCTGACTGAGCTGGTATTGCAGTCACCAAAGATTCTATATAGTATTGCCAAAGAGTTCAAAGGCAGCTTGACAAAACATGCTTTCTTTAAGGAGAACGTGGGCAGACACCTCCCACCTCAGTCCCGTGGGTGTGGAGGAATGTGCTCTGGAAAGGCAGCTTAGCCAAAGAGGACGTCCTGTGCATGTACGATTTTGCAACCTGCAGAAGCCAGCAGAGATCACATGGCCGGCCCAGCCAACCCCAGCATCACCCAAGACCCTGGGTACGTAAGAGCTAGAAATATCTAAGAGCCAGGGCCCCTGTGGATGCTTTCTAAGCAGTGATGATAGGCAGCCCCTACTGCAGGCTCTGGTCCTGTGTTCAACTTTCCAGCTCATAGGGATTTAAACTGGAACACAAGGTCAGGGAACTCTTAGCACCCCTTCCTTCTGTATTCCCCAAACCAAAATCTAGCAACCCAATACCATTAGCATCATATTATTATAACATAGCTGTTATCATTATCATCAGTTACCCTTTAAAGCAGTGGCTTTCAACTCTGTCAGACCCTGTGCCCATTTTTTAAATCAAGTACTTGGTAATGTCCCTCTTGCTCTTCTGAAGTAAAATGCAATTTATGGATAATAAAACCTCCCATCATCGTGACCACCATAAACTCAGATGTCCCTTAAGAGACAGAAATGTCCCTGGTTAAGACCCAATACTTTAAATTGCCCTATAGGGTTAAAACATAACCTATTTAGAACAAGCCCCTGATTGTCACAGGACTATAGCATTTGACCCTGGAAGGCCCACCCCTGTCATTTTACAAGTAAGGAGCTGACGAGGCCCAGAGAGTCTAGGATGGTGACCCTGAATCACCATGTCAGTGTAAGAGCCGGACAAGCAGAGCTCAGCCTGCAACCTGGCCCTCAGGAGTCAAAAAATGAACTGGATGATAAAATAGGTCTGTCCCTAGAATTTGTAAAAACAAAATCTTAAAAATCCCAGCAGGATAAATTACTTAAGAAATGGATACAGTTAGCCCTGGCAGGTGTGGCACTGGCCTGTGAACCAAAGGGTTGCCAGTTCAATTCCCAGTCAGGACACATGCCTGAGTTGCAGGCCAGGTCCCCAGTAGGGGGCGCTCAAGAGGCAACCACACATTGATGTTTCTTTCCCTCTCCTTCCTCCCTTCCTCTCTCTAACAATAAATAAATAAAATCTTTTAAAAAAGAGAAATGGATACAATTAGCCTATAATACTTCTTTGTTTTTGGTTTTTTCTCAAAACAAAAATGTCTAAAAATTATTAATGACCATGAATAGTGAAGTGTGTGTCCTGACAATTCTTAAAACAGTCTAGGCAAGATGAAACAAAGCTCTTCTTTTTAGAAATCCACTAATTATTCCTATTAACATAATGAACTTTTTCACCTGCTGTTCTAGACACCCTTATCTTCAAAACACTTGTCCAAATTAGCCATTCATAATAACTGCTTTAGTGAGTCCTTACTCTGGATGAGACACTATACTATAGACTTTATAAGATTATAGCATATATTTCTAACCCCATGAAGTAGATACTTTTATTATCTTCACTTCACAGATGAGCAAAATGAATATCAAACTTAAAAAAAAAAAAGCAGATTTTTATTCAAATTCATATTTGCCTGATCCAAAGTCACTTAGAATCCATACTCTCTTCTCCATAAATCTCACACTGGAACTACTCTTACTATGCTTTTAGAAGTATTCCAGCAAAATCTAGATTACAAACAAATTTTTAAAAAGGAGGGATAAATTTTAGCTATCTGATAAATTCAGACAGCTAAATCACACAACCCCTAATCTACAGAAATCTTGGTTTTGATCTGAAATCTTCGGTCTGGCCTGCCACTTCCACTGTAGAGCTGCCCCCTGGCGTGGGCGGTGAAGCCCACGCAGAAGGCTTTGGTCTTCCTGCCCTCCCCAACACTGGAAAGTTGAAGACAAACAGAACCGATATTCTTATTTAGAATGAGCCACTTTTCTGTAACGTGTGCCTTTTCTTTCTTTGCTGTTTAAAATTGTCAATGCCCGTTCTCTCCTTCAATTTTTATGTATACCTCAGAAATGCCAGGCAGAAATCTCTACATCCCATGGGTAGTCATGAAAGCTCATTTTGATCAAGCACTCACCTTGTTCTTAGTACTGTAAGAAATGCTCTGCAGAGTCATCTCACAAAAGCCCTATTACTTAGCTAATTTTACAGATGAAGAAATAGAAAGTTGAAGAATCGAGACAGATGATACGGTTTATAAGCAGGGAAGTTATGATTCAAACTTAGGTTTTCTTCAAAGCCAGGCATATATACATATAAGGTGGTCAGAGCCTCCAAAGGTCTCTGCTCAAAGCTGAAGACAGGAGTCACATCTTCTGCAGAGAAATGGTGCTGGAGATGGAAAAGTCCCAAGGGGTCACAGACCTCCCTGCCTCATAATGTGTTTCCATTATTAAAGTTAGTAAGCTTGAATTACTACAGCCACTGCCCCATTTTCTTCTCTCCTGCTCATAACAATGTTTCCTCACTCCCACTGTCAAGAAACAAGAAAAGAAAAAGGTTCTCTATTAGTAATACATTAAAAATGCCACTTGGAATTGCAACCCAGGCTTCCAGAGTACCGCAAAGAAATAAACAAAGCCCTTATTCCATTTCTTCAACTTCTTGCTCAGATCCCAGGACTTGAAAGATAAGATCTAAGAACAAAGTGGTTCCTCTACTTTCAACCTAACACACACCTCCAGGCTCTGGTAGAGGATGGGGGTAACTGGTGGGCACCTTCTGAAACAATAGGAAAAGCCAAAAGGAAATGGTGTGTTTACCAGGCAGAGTCAAAAAAGTCCCTGCCTGTAAAGTCACCTCATGACCTTGCCTAGTGCCATCCTCCTCCATCCCTAACCTCATCCCCTTCCCCACCTCCCAAGGCTTTCTGGTCATCCTCAGTCATTCTCTTGAAGCTAACAAGGAAACAAGACAAGACTAGAAACGGGAGACCGCCTGAACAGCCTGCTGCATTTTAAAGTACGCTTCCTGCACCGAGCAGGCAGCCTCGGCAAGAAGGAGACTGTATTTCATCTATGACCAGGAACACCTCCTTTTTACTTATACTTGTAAACAGCTAGTTCTTTCTCTCTGTCACTTTTTAAAATGTTTATTTATTGATTTTTAGAGAGAGAAAGAAGAAGAAGGTGAGAGAGAGAAAAAAAGAAACACCAATTTGTTGTTCCACTTATTTATGCATTCGTTGGTTGATTCCTGTATGTGTCCTGACCAGGGATCAAACTCACTACCTTAGCATATCGGGAAGATGCTCTAACCAACTGATCTACCTGGCCAGGGCCTTTCTCTCATTTTTTGAAGAGTAAACTTCTTGAGGATACTTCTTTCTGCTCAAAAATACTGAGAGATAACACTATTCAAGTCCTGCTACCTGGGATGAAGATTTTACAGCTAATCCATTTAAAGTATTTTTTCTCCTTGCCTCATTTAAAAATACGTTTCATACTAAAAATGAACATATGCTCTTGTAAAAAAAAAAAAAAAGGAAGCAGTACAGATTAAAGGTAAAAATGAAAGTTCTCTCTCCACCCCAGTTCCTAAGAATGGAAGTAGTTGCTGTCCTCATCTTCCCAGGAGTTTTTGTGCACATACAAAGACATATACTCAAAAAGAGGTTCTCACATTCATTTTAAAATTAGAATATTACACCCACGGTTATAAAATGTGCTTTTGGAGCTGGCACATTTCATGGGCGCTCCTCCATCTCAGTCCATAGACAACAGACTTCATCTTTAAGAGCTACATAGCTCCTGTTCCTGTTCCAACTTGCTTGATTTAATCTGTATCTTTAGACTATTTATCCACATATATCTTGACAAGTCATAGTGTCCTGCAGAGAGACATGTGAGTAATATGTTCTGGGAACATTCTTACCTTTATAAGACTGACTCTCTTCTGTTCCTTCAGAGATTAACAACCTTATACAGCTCCTCAGGAAAGCATTCCCTGACCAAACTCCAAATATCACCCAAGTTACTACAACCCCTTAACCACCTTCATTTTTCCTCATAACACTTGTCGCTCCCTAATATTATTTATGTGTGTGTTTATTGATTCACAGTCTCCCAGTCTCAGTGTAAGTTCATCAAGGACAGAGATTCTGTTGTTTAATTTACTGCCATATTCCAGTGTCCAGAAGACTAGAGAAATCATAGTAAATAGTAAGTGTTCAAAATTTATTAACTGGATGAATAATCATGTAAGCAAAACTAACACAATGAATATTAAAATGCATCTCTGCCTGAAATTCTGGGTTTCCAATTTGGAGATATGCACATGTATATGTGTGTGTGCACACCCGTAGCTCTTATCAGAAGCAAAAACAGTGCCATTTGACAACTTCTGTATCTATGGCTCTAAGACCAATTCTGCCCTGGCTGGTGTGGTTCAGTGGATCGAGTGCTGGCCTGCACACCAAAGGGTCACTTATTTGATTCCCAGTCAGGGCACATGCCTGGGTTGCAGACTAGGTCCCCAGTAGGGGGCGTGGAAGAGGCAACCACACATTGATGTTTCTCTCTTTCCCTTCCCCTCTCTCTAAAAATAAATAAATAAAATCTTAAAAAAAAAAAAAGAACCAATTCCTTTGTGGATACTGCTGTAAATTTATAAAATAGTGGAGTAGATTGGACCAAAGGAAATGTTCTAACAGAAAACCAAAGGTCTTTGAGCTAATATTCAGTAATCCTCCACTGAAAAATCTTTCCATTTTTTCTCATATTGAATAAGGGAGACATTTGACTTTTTCTCCCTAATGTTGCAAGAATTCTTTTCCAAGCATATTAGAATCCCCCCTTTTATGTGTCAGTTTACTTACACTATCAGACTCTAAACAATCAGTGGATATTCAACAGGTGTATGATTAGCTATCACTAGGCTGGGCTTCATTGTCTGCTATTTTTCTTGATATGTACATTCTGTTGGGTATTGCACCTAGCAGTAAATGCAAAAATGTTTAGCCAAGCTTACCTATCATTCCGAAAGATTTTTGGTAGATACCTTCTAGGGAACCACATGGCCAGAGCACACATCAAAACCCAAAGGATGGCAAGTTCATCAAGCATCTGACCCAGGAAACTCAGAGTCGCATGGAAGTAGACGGATCCGATTCCTAGAATCAATTACAACCAATAAAAAGGTCACCAAAGAACAGACTCACAAATTCAGTACATTGCTTACAGATAGCCCTTTCACCAACCACTATCACAATCACCAGATCACTCTCTCTGTTTGAAAAAAGAAACTGAAGGAAGAAACTCACACCACCTGGGCATGCAGACTTCAAGTGTAAGATTTTATTTATTTATTTTTAGAGAGAGGGTAAGGGAGGAAGAAAGAGAGAGAGAGAAACATCGATTATTTGCCCCTTGCATGCCCCCAATTGAGGATCTGGCCCACAACCCAGGCTTGTGCCCTGACCAGGAATAGAACCAGCAACACTTTAGTTTACAGAGGAACACCTCACTCACTAAGGCACACGAGTTAGGGCCAGAATTCAAGTCTAGAAAGATAATTTCAAGCAGGGCCTATATATCAGCACATCAGAACTTTAATGTTTCACCGCGAAACACATTCTGTCTTTGTCCACTAGCCTTCGTGAGAACAGGCAGTAAATACAGGTTAAACATTCTCTCACTCTTCTGTGAGAGACTACGGACTTCCCATCAAGATGGAGGTGTAGGTAGACACACTTTACTTCATTGTGCAATCACAGAGAGAATTACTACTATTTCTCAAAACAAGTAACAACCAGAACCATCAGAAAATCAAGCTGTATGGAAGTCTCATAACCAACCAGGATTTAAAGAAGCCACATTCATCCAGATGGGTGCCTTTTACAGGGAGTCAAAGCAGCTCTACCTAATACACGGAAACAAACACAGGAAGGCTCCCGAATTGAGGAGGCAAAGAAATATGTCCCAGATGAAAGAACAGAATAAAACCCCAGAAAATGAACTAAATGAAAAGGAGATAATCAATCTATCAGGTGCAGAGTTCAAAACACTGCTGATCAGGATGCTCAAAGAACTCACTGAGTATGGCAAAAACGTAAGGGAAGAAATGAAGGTTACACTAAATGAAATAAAGAAATATCTACATAGAACCAACAGTGGAGAGGAGGAAGCCAAGAATGAAACCAATGATTTGGAACACAAGGAAGGAAAAAGCATTCAATCAGAACAGCAAGAAGGAAAAAAGAATTTTAAAAAATGAGGAGAGGCTTAGGAACCTCTGGGACAACCATAAAGGTACCAACATATAATCTTAGGGGTGCCAGAAGGAGAAGAGGAAGAACAAGAAATTGAAAACTTATTTGAAAAAACAATGAAAGAAAAGTTCCCTAATTTGGCGAAGAAGATAGACATATAAGCCCAGGAAGCACAGAGAGTCCCAAACAAGTTGGACCCAAAGAGGAACACACCAAAAAATTCATAATTAAAATGCCAAAAGTTAAAGGTAAAGAGAGAATCTTAAAAGCAGCAAGAGAAAGGCAGAGAGTTACCTACAAAGGAGTTCCCATAAGACTATCAACTGATTTCTCAAAAGAAATTTGGCTCATAAGAAGGGACTGGAGAATATTCAAAGTGATGAAAAGCAAGGGCCTACATCTAAGATTACTCTATCTAGCAAAGATATCATTTAGAATGGAATGGCAGATAAAGTGCTTCCCAGATAAGGTAAAGCTAAAGGAGTTCATCACCACCAAGCCATTATTACATGAAATGTTAAAGGGACTTACTTAAGAAAAAGAGAATATCAAAACTATGATTATTAAAATGACAACCAACTCACAACTATCAACAATTGAATCTAAAAAAACAAACTAAGCAAAAAACCAGAACAGAAACAGAATCATAGATAACGAGATCACATGGAGGGTTATCAGCTGAGAGGGGGAAGGGGGAGAAGGGGGAAAAAGTGCAGGGATTAAGAAGCATAATTGGCAGGTACAAAATAGACAAGGGGATGTTAAAAATAGTGTAGGAAATGGGGAAGCCAAAGAACTTATATGCATGACCCATGGACATGAACTAAGGGGGGGCGGGTATTGCTGGAGGGAAAAGAGATACTGGGTGGAGGGGGCAAAGGGGGAAAAATTGGGACACTATAATAGCATAATCAGAACACATGAAGGCTAGACAAATAAGGAGACAAAGTAACGTGGCCCAAATGAAAGAACAGATCAAAAGAATTAAACAAAATGGAAATAAGCAATCTATCAGATGCAGAGTTCAAAACACTGGTTATAAGGATGCGCAAGGAACCTACTGAGGACCTCAACAACATAAAAAAGACCTAATAAAAAATGAAGGATACACTAACTGCAAAAAAAATGATTTACAGAGAAACAACAGTACAATGGACGACACGAAGAATCAGATCAATGTTTTGGAACAGAAAGAAGCAAAAAACAACTAATCAGAACAATAAGAAGAAAAAAAACAAGGACAGTGTAAGCAGCCTCTGGGACAACTTTAAGTGTTCCAACATCGCATCACAGGGGTGCCAGAAGGACAACAGAAAGAGCAAGAAATTGGAAATGTATTTGAAAAAATAAGAAAGAAAACTTCCCTAATTTCGTGAAGGAAAGAGACTTGCAAGTCCAGGAAGCGCAGAGCCCCAAACAAGATGGATGAAAAGAGGCCCACTCCAAGACACATCATAATTAAAATGCCAAAGGTTAGAAGTAAAGAGAGAATCTTGAAAAAAAAATAAAATAATTTTAAAAAATTTAAAAAATAGCATATCAATAAAATATATTTTTTAAAAGAGAAAATGGAAATTACACAAGTATTTCCCAGAACAATGAAGGCAATAAAGGATCAGACAACTAGAATTTATGTGTGTGTGTGTGTGTGTGTGTGTATGTGTATAGTTTTGTTTTGTTTTTTTTTTACCTTTATTCCATTAGAAACCACAGTCTTATCAGAGTTCAACTGTTTCACATAACTTTCTTCAAAAGTTCTCAGAAAATTGTGCTGGCACAACACCAGTAGCAATTATATAAATGAACTCTCTAAAACAATTAAAGCAATAATTACAGCCAACCTGGTTATCAAGTGCATATTCAAAAGAGTCCTTTTGGCATCAAGCAAGCAAAACAAAAGTTCGCTAAGACGTCAGAGTGACTTTGGTTTATAAAACATAATGTTCAAAGGAGACAGGAAGTGTTAGAATTCCATTTCCTCCCGTTCAGTCCATGCTCCCAAATGAATCCACTTACCCACTACAACTAAGAGAGTCCATATTAAGTAGATGCCACTGTTGAAGCATGTTGCATACTGACGAAACAAGCACATGCAGATGGGCGGTAAAACGAAAAACAAGAAGTTGCTGATCTGGAGGGGAAACGTAAAATGAAAAGGTAAGTTAAGTAAAAGGGCAAAAAAACGAAGCAGACTGTTCCAAGTATGTCCTTTGCAAATTATGAATGTGGCCATACATCTTGTTTAAGTTAAGCACTTATACTTTTCTGAACTGCAGATATACAACCAGGAAAACTTAAAACCTCTTTAATAAGCATTTAGACGATTCCTTCCAGCCTCCCTGGTCACAGGAGCAGCTACAAAACCACTGCAATCTGTGAAAGCTGCCCAGGCTCCACTCCCAATTTAAAGAATCAGTGACTCCTAATTCTTTTTCCACACAGATTAACTAAGAAGTATGCTAATTTACTTGCACATACATTTTTAAACATAAGGCCTATACTAAATAATGCTAAAAAGAAAGTTTAATAGCCCTGGCCAGGTGGCTCAGCTGGCTGAAGCATCATCCCCCTACACCTAAAGGTTGCAGGTTCGATTCCCGGTCAGAGCACATACAGGAGGCAACCAACTGATGTCTCTCTCTCTCTCTCTCTCTGTCTCTCTCTGTCTCTCTCTGTCTCTCTCTCTCTCTCTCCTCTCCCCCCTCCCTCTTCCTCTAAAAATTGATAAACATATCCTAAGGTGAGGATTAAAAATAAATTTTAAAAAGAGGTGAGAGGGACTAGACAAGTTTGAGCCTCCAGGATTTTCTGCCAGCAATACTAGCTTTTTCTTCTGGGTTCACAAGAAGGCAGGATTTTTCCTAGTTTCCCCTTGTCACCCTTTGTCCCTTTCTCACCCTATACATACCTGCTTTTAGGGAAAGATCAATTTTTTAGGTACTTCCCAGCTTTAAAATACCATTTTATCTTTCAGACTTTAGTGTGGATTTAAGCCTCTCTGTTATCTCTTCAGAAGTCTCTTTTAAAATATATATATTCTAGCCCTGGCTGGTGTGGTTCAGTGGACTGAGAGCCAACCTGTGAACTGAAAGGTTGCTGGTTCGATTCCCAGTTAGGGCACATGCCTGGGTTGCAGGCCGGGTCCCTTTTTGGGGACATGTGAGAGGGAACCGATTGATGTTTCTCTCACACCCTGATGTTTCCCTCTCTTTCTCCCTTCCTTCCCCTGACTCTAAAAGCAAATAAGTAAAATCTTTAAAAAAAGAAATTAAAAAATATATATATTCTATTTTGATATTATGCAATATCAAAATACTGTCATTTCAACATGTAATCAGTATTTATATATCATTAATGAGATATTTTCCATTCTTTTTGCTCATACCATGGCTTGGGAGCCCAGTGTGAATTCCCCACTGATAACACATCTCCATCGGGACCAGCCATATTTTCACATGCTCAGCCACACTTGGCTGTTGACCACCATACTAAGCAGGGTAAGTCTAGATCCTCACTTCTCACTTTTAAAAGTTATTTTTTATCTTTCTTTAGGGGAGGGGTCATAGCTAGTTCTTTTTTATATCCCCCGACCAAATTTTTGTATTGAGGTAAAATTCTCATAACATAAAATTAACCATTTTAAAGTGTATATAATTCAGGGGCATTTAATACATTCATAATGTGCAACCATCACCTCTAATTCTAAAACATTTTCATCATCCAAAAAGACAACCCTGTACCCATTAAGCAGTTGCTTCCCATTTCCCACACCCCACAGCCTCAGACGAGCACTAATCTTCTTTCTGTCTTTATGAATTTTCCTATTCTTGATATTTCATAGCGGTAGGATCATACAACATGACCTTTTGTGTCTGGCTTCTTTTACTTGGCATAATGTTTTTGAGGCTCAACCATATTATTGCAGGTATCAGTACTTCCTTTTTACAGATGAATAATATTCTGTGGTATGGGCACCATGTTCTGTTTATCCTTTCATGCATTAACAGACTGCTGTAAATAGAGCTGCTATGAACATTCACATACAAGTTTTTAGTGCTTGTTTTCAATTTTGGGGGTATACGGTTGGCATTGCTGGGCCTTATTCAGGCAGGTTAGTGAGAAGATAGAAAAATTCCTTGACAAATGGAATCAGGAAAGTGAGACAAATAGTTGAATGAATGGATGAACAACTAGCAGCCCACTAATGAACCACAAGACCCTATCTTCACTGACCAAAGACATCTAGGAGTAAATGGTTTAAGTTTATCCTCCCCAACCAAAGAGCAGATGGCTTAACTAACCCTAGCTAGGGACAGAGATAACATGACCCAATTAGTGCCAGCCTAACCTGAGAGCAAATGAAGCCAAGAGAATAAGTAACAACAACAATGACAAAAACAATTAGCCAAACAAATTCAAGGTAGAGGTGAAACTGACCAGAAAATGATCACAGACTATACTATATGCTCATTTTGATTCACCAGCATATCAAAGGACACACCTGGAAAGCTGATGAATATTCTATTAAGACCTCCCCTAAAAGACCCACCTGTAGAAAACAGATAAAAACTCTTAAGACGAAGGACCTGTGCCAGTCTTTCCTCAGGTGTACTTTCACTTTCTTTCTCCTAAACTCTAAGGGGTTCCAACGAGACTTGCAAGCAGGGAAACAGTGGGCAGCAGCAGCTTGTCACAGGCTAACCCCCTGATCCCGTCTTCAAGGACACTCCTTTTGACTCTACGACTTTTCTCTGAGCCAGTGCAGTACCTCCTCAGCTCAATCTTGTTCCTGTGATTTTGCTTCCTCTATCCTCAGCCCTTCCTTTATCTCACCATCCCAAGCTTTGATAAAATTACTTACTCTCATAATCACCCAGACTCATGTCTTGAAATCTTTCCTGCACAAAGTCAAGAGCCTGCATATCCCAAACCGTGCCAGGGCAAACCCATCTTGGCCCAGCCCCTTCCCAGTGAAAATATGGTAATTCTATGTTTAACTTACTGAGAAACCACCAAACTGTTTTCAGCAGTGGCCAAACCATTTACATTCATACAAGCAATGTATAAGTGTTCTACTTTTTCCACATCCTTGCCAACACTTATTTTCTGGGGATTGTTTTGTCGAATGAAGGCCATCCTAGAAGGTATGAAGTGGTAGGGATATTCAGCTTTGTAAGTTTCATCTCTAAGTTTGGCATGAAGGGCTCCTCATAAAGGACCACGTACACAAAATGTGCAGCAAGTGAAGACAGTGGCTGAGTCTAAATGAGTAACACCAATGGGCATGGGGTGGGGGGGTAAACACACACACACACACACACAAAGACTAAGGAAAGGCACTTTCAGACATAGGATGGGACAGATGAAGTTGGGAAAGCCAAGGGCAAGGGGGTTTTCAAAAGAAAAGACTGGTCATCCATGTTGGATGGCAGAGACGGGGCTTCAAAGGAACCATGAGGGCAGGTGCCTGAACTGAACTGATGGAGCCAGGCAGGGCAGAAGGGCTTTTCTACACCTGTGAAATCACACTAGTGCACAACTAAACAAAATGCATCAGCTAACTCCAGAACTTAAGACATAGCACAGGTAAGGATTGGCAACATCAGTGGCCAGCGTACGCCTTTGTCAATATTTGGGAATGAAAGATTAGGAGTGAGACCTTTCTTTCCCTCTTTCTTTGTTTCTTCCATTCTTCCTTTTCCTTCTCTTTCTTTCTTTCTTTCTTTCTTTCTTTCTTTCTTTCTTTCTTTCTTTCTTTCTTTCTTTCTTTTTTTTCTTTCTTTCTATTCTTTCTTTCCTGCTTAGGTATTAACCTTTTTTTAATTTATTTTTCAAATACAGTTTACATTCAATATTATTCTGTATTAGTTTCAGGAGTTAGTACAGCAGTTAGATAAGCCTATACTTTACAAAGTATCCCCCTGATAGTTCCAGTGCCCACTTCACCATACATAGTTATTATGTAATGACATCATTTTTGGCAAGGAGAGAAAGATAAGGTAGGAGAGAAATAATATATAAGTCAAGAGGGAGAAGACCGTTCGTTAGGGGCAGGATGGGAGTAGCACTGCTGCCTTTGATCAAAATCCCAGGCTGAAATCCCTAGTGGAGCCACATCATCCTGGAAGACAAGGTACATTTTTGTAGGTGGTGTACTCTGACGGGAATCTTATTCTGCTTCCCCCGTCAGACAGAGCCCTATGAGTTCTGACCCTGGGGGAGAGAATGGGTAAATTGTGTCAGGCATATACACTCTCCAGTCCTGGAAATATAGCCAATGCTCATTTACTAAAAAGCAGATAAGCAGTAGGCTATTGTTCATTGTTAATATCACAGTCCTTTAACTTTTTATGAACTCATTTAAATAATCAGAGATCTTTAAGAATTACAGCGAGAGATCTTAACCATCCCTTGTTTTACAAGGGCTATCGCTAAGGGCCCCAGAAAGGCTCCTAGGCTGGCCAAGGTCAGGGAGGCAATCGCCCAGGGAGCTGGGGCCAGCATCCCGTCCTGCTGCAAGCTCTTTCCACTGCTTCCCCCGATTTGCACCTCCAAGTCACCCAGCCACATTCTGATCGCCTGGGTTTAACTCCTGGTATCAAAAACTTCTGAACTGCATCACACACTGTGCCCATAGGACCTGTTCCATGATTTAAAAATGGCTCTCCTTTTGTTAAACATAGAAGAAAGAAAAGAAGGTAGAGGGGAAGAAGGAAGAGAAAAAATGAAAATGAAATTGTTATACCACAGGAAACATAAAAACTGATCTTTCTCCTTTCATATTCATGAATATGTTCTCCTTGTTAGACAAGGCTAAAATCTCCCTTCTTCTACCATCCTAAAGATAGCCACTGTTCTCAGACTCATAGGTTTCCAGTCATTTTCTTTGCATTTCTTTACATATGTATCACATGCTGTAACATTATCATTCTGCAACTTTTTCTTATTCAACAGCATGTCTTCAAATCTTTTCACCTTAGTTCACTTAGATTTACCTTACTTGGTATAAGTGCTGCAGATGGCAGTTTGTTTCTTTTTTTAGCCATTTCCCAATGGAAGGAAAGCAATTTACAGTCCCACCTACAATGTTAGGAAATATAACACATTTGTTTTTTATCCCAGCGTATCTTTTAAAAAATATTTTATTGATTTATTTTCAGACAGAAGGGAAGGGAGGGAGAAAGAGAGGGAGAGAAGTATCACTGTGTGGTTGCCTCTTGTGGGCCCCCACTGGGGACCTGGCCTGCAACCCAGGCATGTGCTCTGACTGAGAATCTTACCCGCAACTCTTTGGTTCACATGTCGGGGCTTAATCCACTGAGCCACACCAGCCAGGTCTACTCCAGTATATCTCTGTTGCCTCAAGTCCCCTCAATCTCTCTTGCTTCGGCCAAGTGCAGCTAACTCCTGCCAAGCTGTCCCCAAATGGCTCTGTCGATTTATATTACCACTAGCAAGGTACACAAAAATCATTTTTAAATGTATTTACACACATTCACAAAAGCAAGAAGTCATTTATTATACCTGCAGTAAAATTATGATACTTCAAAACATTTTTTTTTTAATGCACATATTAGGAAGTTCAATTTAGAAGCACCGTTTTAACAGATGCTTCCAAATAACATGAAATCACATTATTACTTCTGCACAGCCCACCTATCAACATCTGCTGGTCTCCATCAGGCCTTTTAAAGAAGTCAGTCTCTGAAAAGGAAAAGGCCAAATTAGAGGGAGATGCTCCCCAAGACAAAAAGAGGAAGGAACTCCTAAAGAAATATGGAAAAGCAAATGAGTAGTCATTAAAAGAGGGATTTAATGTCTCCTTATCTACTGAGAAATGAAACTTCCCTTCAAAATGGTGTGGGCCACTAAAGTTGAAGAATAGTTCAGCCAAGGAGTGTTTTTTAAAGCCTATTGTTTGATTACCGTTTGGGAAATTGGATTATTTAATGCCTACAGATCAGATTGTTTTCATTGAAAGGAAACCACAATTCTAAAATGTATTTCCTTAGAAAGCTCCTTATTCTATGAATTCCCACATAACACTTGCACCAAAATAATCTCATGAACACACTGCAATCTCATCCTGATGCATGTGAATGTGCACTTTCCCAGACAGAGGGTAAATACTGACAAAGCAATAGGCTGTAAGTTTTTGTGAACAACAAGTTCATAAACAGATAAGGGTCATTACAGTGGCTAAACATTGTGTCTGCGTATCCTAATTGGATGCACATTCCTAACTATCCATCCCATTGCTCCCCTACTGCCGCTGGGATGACCAACCATCCTGGTTTGCCAGGACATAGAACTTTCAGTTTTCAAATCAGGAAAGTCCAATTTTGTCTTTGACAAACCAGGACAGGTTGGTCACTCTACATAGCAGTATTCTTCAAAATCTCCCCCAACCCCACCTCCCACAGTGCACCAACCCCATGCAGAGTTCTCAGAACACTGGGGTGACTTGTACACACCTCTGTATGGCCCCCACCACCCAGATGACTGTGGATCTTGTCTCTGTGATAGGCACACAGTAGTTGGCCAGTAAATGGATGGATGGATGGGTGATTATGACTTACAGATAATAGGATGTGGTCTTGGACATATAAAGAGAACTCTACTTCCCTTATCCTTATGGTTAGAGGCAAAGCTGATTGGGGGAGGTGATTGATTCTGGGCTGATTTTATTCATGTGTTTTGCTTAAACTGTGCCAAATTATCTTACATAATGGATAGTTAGACCTGCTGCTTTACTATGAGGATTTAATGAGATGTTAATCATCAAGAAATAGTTCTGCCTTCCTCAATACAAGAGCAAGAGGTTTCTCCTGTGACATATAAGTACCCACAGATAACTAGGGCATGGAAACAGAGAAGCAGCTACGGTTTTTGCTAATCTCTTTGGACCTACACAGAACAAAGCTTAGTGACCAACCAGATCTCTCAAACCTTCCAGGGGTATCCAACCTTTTGGCATCCCTGGGCCACATTGGAAGAAGAAGATTGTCTTGGGCCACACATTAAATACACAAACACTAGTGAAAACTGATGAGCAAAACAAAGGTTTTAAAGTAAATTTACGATTTTGTGTTTGGCCACACTCATAGCCACCCTGAGCAGCATGAGGTCTGCAGGCGGTGGGCTGCACACTGCTTTCTGCTTTGCTAAAGCAAGTTCTGCGGCTTACAACTAATCCAGAGAATAAGGTCTGTCAGGCAGACCAGCTGGGCTCATCAGCCACAGACACTGCAGCTAAAGATCAACAGTTTATTTCTAAAGAAGATTCTGGCACTCCCTATGTAACTGCTCCAATGGAACTAGATTAAAAATAAAGACAAAATAAATTCTCCCCTTCATTCGGCACTCTGGGACTTTTCAAGGCAGGCTCAGAGCAGCTATACACTTTTTGGCCAAATAACCAGACCTGACTCTCTGCTGACCTCAGATTCCATAGATAATTACTTTGCAGAGAGTAGGAGAACCTGTCCCCAAGTTCTTATTTCTTCCTTAAATATGGTGAAATCCACTTTCAAATGGAGAACCTGAGTTACCACTGTTGAGAGTACCCAGTCCTGCTCCAGCCGGCCCTCTGTGAGCACCCATTTACACCTAAGAGGATGCACTGAAAAAGGATGCACAGTACAATAAGTGAGGTGTGGCCACCTCCACTAGCTGTATCTACATAGAGCAAAAGACCAGGTTTTCTTGAGGAACTATCTGGTCATATACAAACAGTAGTTCTGTATATAGGGCAGCCATGGATTTGAGCAATAAGAAGAGGAGGGAGAGTGCAGATTTCTGAAATGTGCCCCCCACCACTCGCCCCTGGCCATCCTGGAAATGTGAGCATGCCAGCTCCCTTCTCACGAGCTCAGTTTCTTCATCAATGACTAAGAAGGACCAGGACTAGCTCAGCAGAGATCCCTCCAGGCAACAAGCACCTAACTGAGGCCAACATTCTCACCAGCAAATAGAAGGTGAAAATCCTAAAGATCAACCTGAAATTTACAATGAACCTTAAACCAGGAGTTCCTGTTTCCCCTGTTAGAGCAGTGAAGAGATAAGCCACATAAATGAATGTGCAAAGCCTTAACATTAGGTACCAGAATCCTGAGCCATGGGCACAGCAAAAAGGTATTTCCTTCCCAGCTGCAAGCACACAGGATTCTGCAGTGGGGAAGTTGCCATATCTAGAGACCTAGGCAAGTCCAGAAAACATGCACACCGTCACTGCCAAATTTCCCTTTCACTCTCCAGGCTTAATAAGTGGAGAGCACACAAGCCTGGGGGAGTTGAATTTGTAGCTGGCATTAGACTGGGTACTAAGTAAGGCAAAGAAATAAGAACTAGCAGTAATTAAGGTAACTTGATTCTGGCCAAAGGCAACTCGACCTATTGGTGTATTCGTGGGATGTGGCAAGACAGCAAGGTTGAATGGGCCCTGCTCCTGAGACATGCCGGGGTGTCATCCTCTTTCCTGGGACTCCTAGAGCAGGTATTCAGAGCAAAAGCGCACAACGTGACCCAAGTGCGTCATGACACTGAGATCTTAAGACGGGAGATTGTCGTGGCAGGTTCACCGCCCGCAAATGACCTAAACTGGGAGATGGGCTGACACAGATCACTGGCTCCAGGACGGGTGGAGACCAACCAACACAATAGGGTCATCAGAAATGACAAGAGGAGGAAGCAGAGCCCAGACGAGGGGGGTAGGGACTGGAGAGAAGGACAGATGGAGAACTGGAAGGAGCGCGTAGAGGAGGGGGCGTGAGTCGACTCTGGTCCAGGAGAAAGAATGCCCCAGATACATGCCGAGGGCCACGTTCAGGTTTCAGGCACCGCGGCGCCTGGGGACAGACCCCTCCCGCCAGCCCGCCTGATATCCCCACGCCCGCGACCCGCACCGTGTTGTAGAACTCGGCGATGGCAGGCACGATGGTGTAGTTGTCCTCGCACCAGTCCACCTCCGAGCTGCCAGCCCGCAGCTGGTCCCACCAGTGCGGGGCGCTCATGGCCGCTCTGGAGCATTGGAGCAGCTGCTACCGCAGTCGAGAAGAGGCCAGAGCTGGGGCTCTACGCCCACAACGGCGGCGGCGACAGCGACCGCGGTGGCTTTATGCAGAACGGGACAGCCGCCGGATGTGGCGCCTCTTCACCCAGCCTCCCCGCGCTGTGCTCCGCCTGTCGGACTTCACGGGCTGGCAGACTCCGCCCTCTGTTGCTCCCCCTGTAGGAGCCCTGGGGCCGCGAGGCGGCCACGCCCACCTCAGGGCTGGATGAGCGTGAGAGCGGGGGGGGGGGGGGCGGAGCGGGGGGGGGCGTAGACAGGCGCGACCACCTTCGGAAGCTTCCAGGCATCTTTATTCCCTGCGCGTGTCGAAGGTATCCACAAGGTCCTGCCCACGCCCACCTCGCGGCTCAGACACGCAGGCGCCCCTTCCATCCCACCCCACCCCCAATTATGCAAAGAGCACCGGCGCCCGCCTGGCCAAAATTAAAAGTAAGGAGAACTCAGGAATGGAGTAACCAGACTCCCTATGGAGCCTTGGGAAGTTTGCATCGATTTCCCTGCTCAGCGCGTGTGCACCGGCGCTCACACCTGAGAAGGGCTCTGGGTCCCTCTGAAGCAGGTAAGCACTGGCCTGGTACCGTGGGTTAGGACATGATGCCCGAGGGCTGGAGTAGAGAGAGCACTAATGCAATTTCGAGTATGTTCCTGCCCTCAGTTCCCTGGACTCGCGGTTAGGCTTTAATCTAGTCTTTGATTAGACATGGGGTCAAACGTCAGCCATCCCAACCCTTCTCAAAGAATGTAGTGTGGCCCGTATGACATCTCCAGAACCTCCAAGGTACAAGAGATGATGACATAAATATAGCACTTAGTATGTGCCAGGAGATGTTTGAAGAGCTTCCATGTATCACTCATTGGGTGCTCCAACTGGCGATCCTATGAAGTGGGTTCTATGAGCAATGTCACTCCAGATGGTAAGTGAAAGAGCTAGAAGTCAGTTAGGATGACCTTAGATCTGCGAATAAGTCCTTTACTTTGCAGCTGTAACTGTTCTGAAGTTTACACATCAAAGCTAATTTGGCCTCAGCAATTCCTGCAGAAAGCCAATCTCTCTACCCCAACTCTTTCTCTCTTTCTCACTCTCTCCCTTTTTGGTCTTGGCTCTGGTCCTCCTTCCTTGGGCAGTTTTAGAATTTCAGGTCAGGACAGTGGTAGTGACAGAAGAGACCCTGGTCAGCAGGCCATGGTGGCTGTCACCAGGATCTCCTTGCGCAAGCCTGAATGGTATCCTAAAGATCAGCAGACCCCCGGGGGAGGGGAGGGAGGGCTGCCCTGTCTCTGGCTTGACTGTCAATGGAAACCAGGCTGGTGTTCCAATGCCCTGTGTACCCATTGTCCATCTTCTACAGCAATTTGCATGTCTCCCCAAATCTACATCACTGACAGACAAGCAAGCCCCAACTCCCCTCCTAGTCTCCTGGAAATCCAGCTTTCTGTCCAGAGTGCTAAACACTCTCCTTTCATCTTTGTCCCAGTTTCTGTCTAGTCCTCCTCCTAGACAACCAGTTCCACTAGGTACACTGGTAACTTCTAAGACCAGAATTCCCCAGACCTGCAGGATACCCAGTGTGTCAGAGTACTATGCCAGCTGTCCAACATCAGTTTTCCATGTTGTCAAGATTTTACTCCTTCTAATATTTTAAGTGAAAATATACCCATATTCATTAAGTCTAATGGTGTAAAACACACCATTATTTTATATGCCAGTGGCTTCCAAAGTAAGGTTCCCCTTTCAGGGGACCCGCAGGTCAAAACCCTTTTCCTGTAAACACTGACATTATCTGTCCTTTTTGCTCTCACCTTCTCACCAGTCTACATTGCTTGGAGTTTTCCAGGACTGTGTGTGTCATTATCTTTCTGACAGCAAATGGAATGCGTGCTTGTGTATAATCAGTATTTAAAGTCTCTGTTTAAATATCTAATATCATAAATATTGATAGATAGCACCACATAAACAAAAGTTCTTTATGGTACTCAGTAATTTTTAAGAGTATAAAAGGAGTCCTCAGATCAAAGAGGTAGAAAGCTGCTATTAAAGATACTCCCAGTTAAACTATTTGTAATCCTTTTTTATCATTTAAAATTTTTAAAATATTTATTGAATGTGAGCTTTTAGACTTAGACATGCATTGTTATCATACATCATTCTTGTGCAAACATAAAAAGGAAAATATAAGCAATATAAATTCATTAAGGAATTGCTACCATTTCTTCATACTCAGAATCTCTTTTTTTCTGACTCATTTTCAACTAGGTCGTTGGTGTCTTTAATCACCAGGTGCTGGTGATGCACACTGCTAATTTTTCAAGCCACTGACACCTAGTGTAGACATTTTGATGATGCCATGGTCTTGATCTTACATGAAGGAGTCAGTGGAAGGTTTTCAGACAACAGGTAGCATGTTTCTTTTCCAAATGGTACTTATATGATTTGTTGACAGAAACATGGAGATTACAGTTGCCAAGTCATCCTACCAGGAATTACCACTGAGTTTGTGCATGTTTGGGTAACACATCTCAACCTATATCTGGCCTGGTCAACCATGATTATAAAATACCTTCCATTGTAAGATGTATCTGGACTTCAGTGATGTTACAATGCAAAACAATGCAAATTTTAGCACCAATGAAATACGGAATTCACTGGAGAGAATTCGTCATTTTCTCCAAGTTCTGCTGAAAGAATGAGAGGGAATTTTCCTCCTAAGCAGGAATTCTTGTCAATGACAATTGTTTCAGAATCAAAACTGACCACTTGGGTTCTGTCTTATTACAACTGCACAGGGAGTGCTCAAGCCAAAGGCCACTGGTGAGTAAAGAACACAAATTTTATTCCTCCAAAGACACCTATGTTTGTCTTGCAACTGTGTTGAAATTTTTCTGCTATTTCTGACTCTCTCCATTGGTAACATTTTTTTCAATGAATATAACGTTAGGATCTATCATTAGGTATTTTTTAACTTGATTTATATTAATAGTATGATGCCTTAGCAACTACTGTTAATAGTTTACTACAAAATATGATATCTGATGTAAACAGTTTGAAGAGAGTTGGGGTGGGGTGGGCAGACAAGAGAGAACAGGGCAATGTGGTGCTTTTGGTCTAAACATGAGTCAGTGATACAGATCCATGAGACAGTGGGTTTGGGAAATCCACCCTTGCAGGGAAGTCAGGATACCAGCATCTTCTATTTTTACAGAGTTTCTAACAGTGTTTACTTGATCTAAGTAAATATTTTATGATAAATATCCAGTTCAACTGGTTCCACAAGTAGAACTCAAGTCACAAAGTCTTCCTTAGGGGAAAAAAAAATACAGGCACTTGCGTAAATGAAGCAATTTGAAGCAGCATCTGCATCACCTAGGCACTTGTTAGAAATGCAAATTGAGGTCCATACTCCAGACCTATTAAATCAGGGACTCTGGGAGTGGAGTTCAACAGTCTCAGGATGAAAAAACCTTCCAGGTGATCCTGACCCACACTCTAGTTTGAGAACCACTGTTTTAACCAATGCCTAGTGGGGCAGAAATTCAGTGGACTGCTTCTCCGAAAAATCAAGTCCAGGTCAAGAATGCTGCTGCCATCAAGGAAAGGAGAGAGAAAAGGAAGCCCCACAGAGGAAGTCATCCTTTCATCAGGCTTATCACCAGGAAGCCAGGGGCTCCCGGTCTGGCCCCCCTCTTCGCTTAGAAGGAAACAAAAGGAGTAAGATGTTCTGTTTTGTTTTTGTTCTTTAATCTAAGACAAAGTCTTCAGGAGGCTTAGAAGTGTGGGAGAGGGCTATAGGAAGCAGGGGCCTCATCAGAGAAACAGAAATGCAGCCACTCCAAGAAGGTGGCCAAATTTGCTGCTCTCAAGTTGTTTACTGATGGGCCACATAAGGCCACTTCCTGCTGTTGTCACTCAGCCTCTCTTTAGAAGTGCCTCTCTCCTTTCTTTAATCTGCACTGGAAAACCACAACCAATGTTAGGACTGGGGGTATAATAAAAGCTGGCTGGTTCTGATTGGAAGTCCGAGGCTATGCATGTGCCTGACATGCATGGAACTTGTTAACATATGTTTTGACTCCTGCTTCTGGATAGAGAAGATATTTCTTTGATAGAGAACTGTAGCTGGCAAAGGAGTAAGAAATTTTGAGCACCTGCTTTGTGCAAGGCTCCACATTAAGCCTGGATAATAACCCAAATTTTTAAAAAATGGTATCTATTTACTTTTTAGAGAGAAGGGAAAGGATGGAGGAGAAAAACATCAATGTGTGAGAGATACATCGATTGCCTCTCGCATGCCCCCAACTAGGGACTGGGCCTGCAACCCAGGCGTGTGCCCTGGCTGGGAATCAGACTGGCAGCCTTTTCATTCGAAGGCCAGCACTCCTTTCACTGAGCTACACCAGCCAGGGCTAAGTGCTAGATAATATAAAGTCAAATAAAGTATTGTTCTTGGACTCATGGAGCTATGTTTAGTAGAGGCTAGAGGCACACAAACCATTAGAATGCCACATGGTAATTGTTAAAATGGAGGTACATACACAGAATGTGGCAGCAGAGGGGTGGGGGCACTGAGAGCCAAGGGAGGCTCTCCTCTGTTGAGCCCTCAGCAGAACTAAGATGTACAAGATGAGTAGGATTTTACCAGGCAGAGCACCAAGGACAGGGAATTCTCCAGAAAGAACAACATGTGCAAAAGGACAGATCCTTGGGCTTGTCAACAGAGGCACCAGTCCTGGCAGACATGAGCAGAGAGGAGAGCAAAATAGAAAAATAGTAAGGGACTTGCACCACCTGCGAAGGGGTCTTGCCAAAAAACATAGCACCTAAACTGGATCAAAAGTTTAGCTCTCATTAACAATAGACAGAAGGCAAATCTCCTGGGGAATCTTGCTGAAAATGCAGATTCTGATTCAGTAGGCCTTGAGTGGAGTCCAAGATTCTGCATTTCTAGCAGACTGCCCCCAGGTGATACAGATGCTGCCGGTCCATGGGCCATATTTTAGTAGAAAGACTAGCAAACGGAAGAAATGACAACATGCAGATGCAATCAATAAAGACAGAATAAGGAAACCTTTTTGACAACTTATTTG